CCCTTCATGCGACTTGCCGAATTTCTCATGGCGCTTTGCGCTTGATGATGTGAGCGCCTGGTCCGGCGAGAACCCGGCGTGCTCCGTCCCGGCTTGTAGGGATGCGAGGTCAATGGTCTAACGACTACGGCATGCACGACTATGAGTACACCCCCCCCCCCCCCCCCCNCGCCTGGTCCGGCGAGAACCCGGCGTGCTCCGTCCCGGCTTGTAGGGATGCGAGGTCAATGGTCTAACGACTACGGCATGCACGACTATGAGTATGGGTACACCCCCTCTCACCAACGTAGCAGTCTTCTCTGTCGATTGTATTGTCGTCTCTGGGAAACGAAGCGTCATTGTCCTCAAAACACAAGCAATGATGTCCGCCGCTACAACCAGGGACAAAGTTATCGAGTGCCGACAGGCGCTACGGCGGCGGAAGCAGCAGCAGAAGTCCAAGGAGGACGGGAAGAGGGCCAAGGTCGCGGCCTTCCTGGTCAGCATGGACAGCCTCCAGGAGGAGTCCCTTCGGGTAGGCGTGATGATGCCTGTGTTTTACGATACTCCCGTGGTTTTTCCTCGTATGCTACACAAGATGATGATGGTGTTGCCACCTCCGTCTTCTGGCTTTCTTGCCCCGCGTGCATGGGTCAGTGGTGCAGCTGACGGTCTTGCGCTCTCTTCCATTGTCTTTGGTATTTTTTCAATACATGTACTCGTTGTTCTGCTGCTCACGTCCGTTCTCCCGGCGTTGCCCTCCCGGGGCTTTGTCCATAACGGTCGTTTTCCCTGCTACCATCGTGGCACTATCAATTGCGGCCACCGACCGCAAGAAAAATGAAAAAAATGGCCGACGACAGCGTTCCTTGTACATGCCACTGAAAAAACGAATCAGCGGCAATACTGAATCCTCTCACGATGGACTTCTGTTCAAAGAAATCTGTTCGCTATCGATACCGCCTGTGATGTCCCCAGGAGCGAGACTTCTTCGCCACCGAGGTGACCGAAGAAATTCTTTTCCAGGATCTTGTGCAGCGCATCAGCAACGAGACCGGCTATGAGACCGATGAATACGAAACCGATGAAGACGACGACGACGAGGACGACGACGACGAAGAATAAGAAGAAGAAGACTGCGAAGGAACGTTTGACAGGCATCGCGCAGAGAAAACAAAGGACAGCAAAAGAGCAAAGCGCGCCAGCATCACCAGCAGTAGGGCCGGCAAGCGCAACGACAGCGACGGCTTTGACGGACGTGCAGGAGCCTGCGATGGCAGCAGCAACAACAACAACAGCAACAACAAACAACAACAACAACAACAACAACAACAACAACAACAACAACAACAACAACAACCTCGCACCGCCGGCGATCACGGCAGACCCGGCGACAACGGTGGTGCCGACGAGTGGCGGTGGGAGGAGGGCGAAAGGAGCCGAAGAAGCGACGGAAGAAGAAAAAGAAGAGGAAGAAGCGCGAGAAGATGATGCGGCCCATGATCGCCTTCCGTGCACAACACGCGATACTCGACCAACTCAGACACGACGTGTCCGCTCGGAGAAAGGCGGCAGCCGCGGCGCGGAGGCGGCGGCGACGGCAGCACGTGTAGCGCCAGACAAGGCAGCAGCCGCGGAAGCAGCGGTGCGAGAACAAGAAGCGAGCGAAGAAGAGCTTCTTGGCACGCTGGATCAGCCGGTCGCGCTGCGGGAAGAAGAAGACCATGTCGATCTCGTCGGTGTTGGCGTTGATGATGTTGTTGGCGGGGACGGGGGTGCAGAGGCGCCATCGGCGGCGGCAGAAGGAGGGGCTGAGGCGAGGGTGCTGGCAGGACAAGTCGACAACGACGACGAGGCCGGGGGGGGCGCTGAAGGGAACATAACGTACCCCAGCGAAGCCACAGGTTTCGAGGACAGGAGTGGTGGGCCAACGGCCCCCTCCTCAAGAACCCTTGGAGAGGCTGATGCCGTGGTAGGTACTGGTGCATCCGAGGGCAGTGATGGCATCGGGGATAGCGGCGCACGGCCCACGGCCGCTTCCTCAAGGGGCGCTGGTAGCACCGCTCATGCCGGCGGAGCTCGTGCAACCGAGGATGATGATAGCAACGACGTCAAGGCTAGCGTCGCGGGGCCAACGGCACCCTCCTCCAGCGGAATAGGTGAGACTGGTGCAGGCGGGACTGGCACAACCGATGCTAGCAGTGAAAGAGGCGGTGCTATGGGGGATGTCGGCGTTGGAGTTGGTCGTGGTGGTGGCGGAGGCTTGGCTGGCGCATCGTTCCCGATAGTGATGCGTATCTGCGGCGAGGACAACAGAGAACCAGGGGAAGCTGCGGTTGGACTCGGTCGAGCGAGAATGAAAGGTGCTGGGAACACCGGAGACGGCAACCTCGTCGCCAACAGCCACGTTACTGGCAGTCGCACCACCAGCAGCAGCAAGCAATCAGACAACAACAAGAGCATCAACAACACCAAACAGGCGAGAGCGAATGGTGACAATTGCCGTAGAAAAAAACGGCCCTCGTTCGTAGGCAACACCACCGAGAAATCCGCCGAGACGACCAAACGAAGAGCGCTAGCGGGAGAGCCGCCCCCTCCAGCTGAGCCGACGACGACGACACACGTGGGAAAAACGGTAGGCGAGTCGTCTGGGGCTTCTGCTGGAGCGCAGGGGGGGGCGGGGATGGGGGGGGGGAGAACAACGAGGGCGACGTTTTGGCAGCCACGCTTGGTGGGAGAGGACGTCGTCGAGAGGCAAAAGACGTACGCGCTGAACGACCCTTACCTCAGGTATGATGATGATTCGCGCATTTTCGAGTACAGATACGCGACGATATGCGTCTGGCATATGAGGACGGTCGACCCGTTGCAAAAAGTTCAATGGCCCGGCGGTTGCCTTGATGTTATCTTTCACGTGAGTGAGTGCTCGACCAAACCGGCATGTATTTTGTCATGAATACGTACAGCCGTACACAAATACGTAGGCATGCTGTGTGATGCGTACGGCCTGCTCGCGATGTGGTCGGCGGTCCTCTAGCGTCGTGTTTGCTGCAAGCAACCCAACCCACCAACACGAACTGTGCATGGGTACGCAAGCAAGTGCGTATTTCCCCCTTCCTTGCCATTTCGCCTTTCCCCGTCGCACGTATGCATACGTTGGAGCACACCCATCAGTGTTTTGTGCATCGCAAGTCAAGATAACCGCACTTTCTCTCCTTTTTGTCATCGTCGGTTCGATCGTTCGCTGGATGCCCCTTCGCCGTAAAAGATCTTACCTGCAGAGGCGCTTAGAGAGCGAGCGACTGCCGCTGCTCTTCGCCGCTCGATTGTCGGGTTCCGCCGTGCTCCGGTACACGGTCACCGATCCCATCCAAATGGCCAAGAAACAGGCCGGTTGCCTACCGCCTCTAACCTAGTGGCAGATGAGCAAATGCGGCCAAAAGGAGACGGAGAGAGAGGAAGGACGGAGTGGCATGATTCGCACTCACTCATTTCTGTGTTGTTGATACTTCACTGTAGATTTATTCACCTGTTATGTAGTAAAATTCTATCATCATCGGACATGGTACAGACTACGCCCCCATTTTGAGAAGGGGCGCCATCGGGGCGATCCCCTTTGATAACTATTATTTCTGTCGGCATGCTCGCGGCCATACATAGACGTCACCAATTAGTCTATGTGTCGACGTCGAACACACTGTTCAGTGTTGTTTGTTCCCGACCGGGCGGGGGTCGGGGGTCGGGGTACCCAGAGTATGGTCAGAAAATATGTGGTTTACCTTCCCTGCCCCAGAACACTCCGATGTACGTAGTTTACCTTCGCCACATCGGAGTTAAGCTGGACCACAGGTAGTTCGCTTCCCGGAGTCTTTCATCTATCGAATGGGTGCGGGACGAAGTGGGGAGTGGGGGGGGGTGCAGGAGGTTGTAACGCTCGAATTCCGCACCGCCTTCGATTGTTGCGTATCCTCGTCTGTATCTTGGCTACCGCGACGTGACGGAACGGGGGGCGGTGCATTTGTTGAGCGTTTCGACATCTTGAGATACTGTAGTAGATGTTTAGGAGGGTAGGATCCTATGGCTGAGTGCAGAATTCATAGGGACCGTACGTTCTATGCAGTATAATGACCGGGTTTCAGGGGGCGTTGAAGGCAAGGCTAGGAAAGGCATCGCCGGATACGATGATGTGGGATTGGTTGAGACATTGTATGAAGTGAAAGTAATGAACGAGGGCAACAACGAATGACCGGTGAGACGGTTGCCTCTGGTTCATCGCTCCTCTTCGCCTCATATTGTAGACAGGTACTCGTAGCAGGTGCGCGGCATGAAGGAAAAGCCAATTCAATGAAGACCACATGCTTTTTTCTTTTGCGATTTCGCGATGCACTTCTAAAGTATTAGTATACTCGAGAGCAAACACATAAATACCGCCTCTTTCCATTCCTCTTCTCTTGCCACGAGGCTCACGACCACTGAGCACCGCCAGGGACGCAAGAGGGCAGCAGGTGACGCGGAAAGCAGCGAAATTCGACCACGGCTGACTCAAACAAGGAATGACTCTGTCCCTCAGAGAGAGAGTGCCCGATTCGTGGAAGAAGGTACACCAATTTTGTCCCAGGGGAGCAGGGCGGGGGGCACAGCAAAAAGCCCTCTGTGACGGGGTTTACACGTCGGGTGGCCCAGCGCATGGTGGGGTGGGTGTGGAGAAAGAGCAGTTTGGCCCCGGCGGGCGGAAATCGCAAAAACCTGGCAGTATTATAGAATCAACCGAAGCAAGCGGCTCATCTCTCCTGGCGCGTGCCTGACGTGGCAACGTACCAGACCCCTTCCCTTGCATACCGTATATGACTTGAGATAACACACCCCCTTGACCAATTTTCGAAGCTCGATTTCTCAAATACAGGAACAGTCACAGAGCCGAAAACGGCGGCGTTGAAACCGTCTCGTCGAGAGCTTTTCGAAAACGTATCGTTTCGTTTATGCATTCTCTTCGTCGTGGAGTAATCGAGCTTTGAAAATCGGTCCAGGGGGTGTGTTATCTTGTGTCATGTGCGGTAGACCGTGTACCGGTAGCTTCCACTTGGTGCTATGAGTTCACCGTTAATCTATCCCAGAGTCTTGATCTGTGAAGGAACTAAATTTGTTGTTTCATAAGTAATAAGTTTTAAACATTTATGTCACATCACATACAAAAACATTCGTCGGTTCTGGACTGAGAACCCAACTTGCAATTGAAAAAAAAAAGAAAGGAGTGTTAGACAACCAACGTGCACAAGGGAACCCAAACAGAAACGGAAGAAAATTCATACCCAAAAAAGGAAACGATCGGACGACCGCAGATAGTCTCCGCAGATGTCGGCCCGGTATCCACCCATCATGCTATGCTACGAGTGAGCGTCTCCGACAGGCTCTTGGGCACCGCGACATGGGAGCTTTGATTGGCCTGGATGGCTTCGTTACGACACGGACGATGGCATGACAGACAACCGTCCCTCTAGCCGCGAGGCAACACATCAAACGCACACCAAGCGAACAAACAGGGGACGATATGAATTTCCCCGTCAGCATAGAAAACAACAGCAAAACCTGCTTCTCTATGTTTTACGATTCACGACCAAAAATCATGACGTCATGATAGACAACTTCAAGGAGAAAAATGAAAGGGGAAAGAGACGACATGTGGCAGAGACACTCCTCATGACCTAACCGACAAACAAGGAAAACTGGCACGTAAAACTTTCCATTTACGCCTGAGATAAAAATAACGCGGCACGCATGAAAAAGGTGTCAGAACAAAACCAACCCTTCCTTCAATTCAACACTGAGTGGAGCTTCAAAGCAGCCACACAAAAAATGAAACAAAACCTTTTAACTTACGCCTGAGTCTTTTCAGATATCCACTAAAAAGCAGAGGTTTGAACACTACCCACGAAGACCTTACGTTGCACCTATGCTCAGGCTTTAAAATACCCACAAATAGTAAGTTCATTAACACAGATTCAGGGCTTCCGCCACTGAAACGTCCCGCCATACGTACAGCGACCGGAGGCATAATCAGAAGGTTTGCCTTCCTCTAAGCTACAGCCCTTACATGATCGGCCACAGACTCGCGAAGAGCCCACGACAAGAGCAAAGTATGAGACCCAAAAATACATTGGTTTACGCCGCTCTTCAGCGATAGCCCTGCGTGATCGGGTACAAAAGACAAGCGGCCACATGTCTCCTTTTATTGCTCATTCCCTCTGCCTGCCTACCGCTTTCTAGTACAACCAAAACCGAGCGCTCAACGACGGAAAAGAGCGCTTCAGCAACTCATGGGACTCGGTCGGTCAAAAATCTCGACACCTTTTGACGCAGCACAGTAGGCTGGCCGGCTTCGGCACCCATCGTAAGGCGCCGCCCATCCACGACCAGCGGGAGGAGGCTTGTCTTCTTCCCCCTCCACCCAGCAAGCGCTCTCCGCACATCACACCCACCCGTCGGCCTCGAATCAACGCAGTCCGGGACCGTGCGTTTCTTCGCCCGTACACGCCGCGTACTGGACCCTTCGTGTGCTCACAACGCCGGTAAGCTACTGTACAGCCCGGCGAGAACCTGGCGTGCTCTGTCCCGGCTTCGGAGGGATGCGAGGTCGATGGTCTAACGACTACGGCATGCACGACTATGAGTACACCCCCCCCCCCCCCCCCCCCNAGCCGGGCCCGTAGCAGCGTCGTCACCGTACATCCATATCTCCGCGGCGGTGGATTCCCTGTCAAGCTTGTCGCCGCCGCCGCCGCCGCCGCTGCTTGTACTGCGCGGGTCCCTGACCGGCCGCCCCCCCGCCCCTCTGTTGCCGGCTAACGCCGCGGCGGGGGAGGAAGCGATTACGCCGCCGCCGCCGCCTCCGGATACTGCGCCCCCCCCGGAAGCCGACACTCTGGGAGAGTCAAGCGCGACGTCAAAGAAGGCTGCTGCCTGCGCGGTCGTCTCTTCGCCGACCCCTTCGTCCTCCATCTCTCCTATCCCTAGGCTGTTCGGCGCGATACGTTTGACGTTGCACCCCCAGCGGCGGGTGGTCATGGGCCGGGGGGGGGGGGGGGGGGGGGGGGGGGGGGGGGGGGGGGGGGGGGGGGGGGGGGGGGGGGGGGGGGGGGGGGGGGGGGGGGGGGGGGGGGGGGGGGGGGGGGGGGGGGGGGGGGGGGGGGGGGGGGGGGGGGGGGGGGGGGGGGGGGGGGGGGGGGGGGGGGGGGGGGGGGGGGGGGGGGGGGGGGGGGGGGGGGGGGGGGGGGGGGGGGGGGGGGGGGGGGGGGGGGGGGGGGGGGGGGGGGGGGGGGGGGGGGGGGGGGGGGGGGGGGGGGGGGGGGGGGGGGGGGGGGGGGGGGGGGGGGGGGGGGGGGGGGGGGGGGGGGGGGGGGGGGGGGGGGGGGGGGGGGGGGGGGGGGGGGGGGGGGGGGGGGGGGGGGGGGGGGGGGGGGGGGGGGGGGGGGGGGGGGGGGGGGGGGGGGGGGGGGGGGGGGGGGGGGGTATGGGGAAGGCAGAGTTCACGTTAGTGTGTGCTCAATATCTGTTGTGCTGGTGCCGTGCTAGCCGGTTGCTTGGCTGCTTGAACAAACGGACAAGTCCAAGCACCCGGGTCTTGTTCCTGGCTGGTAACACATGTAAATGCCCACGGCTGTCTATGTACTGTCCCACGAAAAACCACGGTGAACAACAAACATCAACCCGCGTCGTGGGCGCGTGTTCCGTCTGCTTGAGAATTTCGGTTCTTGGGAGAATGTTGTATGTTCGTGAAACAAACACAAGGACAAAAGCCAGCCGCGCAATAAACACCAACGCCAACAACAACAAATACGACGACATTATGATAGCTGACCTGCTGCGGCGAGCCAATCCAAAGTAACAGATCGAGTACACCACGTACCTCCACGTCTACCGCCCAATGACTATGGCACCTAAATATATTCAACACGGACGTGATGTCCACATACGTGGTGACCGAAAGCACGCAAGTCACTGTCTCACAAATACTCCTTCCCTGTTGGTGAAGAGAAGGCGTGTCGCTATCGTTGTAAGGTATGCTACTCCGCATCAGAAGGACATACCTCTGGGCGACGACCGGCTGCCCTGGGGCCAACCCTGTCTTCTCCCAGCCCTCCCCCCCTTGGGTACCGCCGAACCCGCGCCCGCTTCGGCCCTTCGACACGCCGTCAAAGGCAGGGTCGACCTGCCAGTTGGACGTGTCTTCGAACGGCTCCTTGTCCTGCGTGTGTATTGTTTTTCAACGCACAAAGGTGTATCATTTCGTGTTGTGCATCGTTCTTATGAAGACGGCAAACCCTTGCAGAGGGTATGGTGATTCAAACGCGACAAGTTGGAGGACGGGGGGCTCGTGGCATCTCCGACCCTACGCCCCACTTCAAGAATACAACCCAGAATACCAACCCCGCAGGCTCTACGATACGACTCTGTCAGGGCATCCCCATCACCAAAGACGACATCAACCACCACCAACGAAACAACTCCGACGTCAACACCACCACCGTCAACAACAGCAACAACAATAACAGCAACAGCAACAACAGCAACAGCAGCAACAACCTGCACACCTACAGGGGAAAGGAAACGACCACAACAACGCCAGAGAAGGCGGCCGCACAACCACTGCGACTAACTCCGCCACCACAAGCAACCACAAAAGGCAAAAACACCACCAGCACTACCAGCACCACCGCGAGACTCAGCAGCAATAACAGCAACGGCGACGACTCCAACCCCACCACCCAGATTGCAGGACCGCTGCCGCGGTAGGTCCCCGCCCACTTCTTCCAGACGTGCGGGTTAACCCTGCGGTAGTGACCCATGTGCTCTCTCTGCGCGGCGCGCAGCAGGGGCTTGGGCACCCACGCCTTGGAGGCCGGGTCGTGGACCTGAAACACAAAACAAAACAAAACGAAACAGCAAGGGTAAGGGACCGGGCGCTTGTGGGCACACGGGGGGGGGGGGGGGGGGGGGGGGTTCGTTGGNGGGGGGGGGGGGGGGGGGGGGGGGGGGGGGGGCGAACTCTTATGTTTTGCATGCCCTAGCGCTTAGACCATTGACCACGCGTCCTCGAGAGGACGGAATACTGTACTACCGATAACCAATGCCGAGGCCTCGTGTCCATTGCCATTGTGGATTCCCTCCACCAGGACGTGTGGTCGATCCGCGAAAACGAGACAAGAACACACACGCACACATTCATGTTTTATTTTGATCGGTTTCCGAGGGCTCTTTTCTCGAACGGTCGGTGCGGTACCTGTTCTTTTCTTTTTATCATTTTGTTTTCTTTTTCCGAGTGGTTTGTACCCTTATTTTTGTTTTGTTTCCCCGCGGCGTCGTATGTGCCGGGTTTTGAGACCACGGGCTCCCCATTTTTCGTGGACTATAGCGCTAATGTGAGAAACAACAACAGCACCAACAACATAACGGCCTCGCCACGACCCTCACGGGCGGGCAGGCTAAGAACAAATAGGAAGCACCATCTATCACACAGCCTGCATCTGACAGACAGTGCCTTCGACCCTTCGACGGCGGTGGTGTTTCCTTCTCTCACGGAATCACAAATCTTTGCTTGGACAACGGGTGGGTACAAACAACCTGGATTTCCTGCTACTACTACTAAACAGTACAGTACTACTGCGGCGGCTGCGGAAAATGGATTCCTGGACGTGTTCACCTGAGGGAAAGCCAAAAGGACCCCCGAGCAGAACTTGGCTCCCTCGTGACTTCCTAGTGGCTTCCTAGGCCCGGACGAGGGCATGTGTGGAGCTATGGCAGTGTATGTGTTGCTATATTGTTTGAGTCATCTAGCTGCTGACACGATGACTGTTGGATCTTGGGAGTGTACGATTATCAACTTGGGAAATGCAGCATACCAAGACATCATGGCTTCGGCTGGGCTTGAATTAACCCTTTTGCTGTCCTCCGCTCTTTGCATCAGTGGCTTCCTAGGTTCGGACGAGGGCATGTGTGGAGCTATGGCCGTGTATGTGTTGCTATTTTGTTTGAGTAATCTAGCTGCTGACACGATGACTGTTGGATCTTGGGAGTGTACGATTATCAAATTGGGAGATGCAGCATACCACGATATCCTGGCTTCGGCTGGGCTTGAAATAACCCTTTTGCTGTCCTCCGCTCTTTGCATCAGTAGTTTCCTAGCTTCGGACGAGGGCATGTGCGGAGCTATGGCAGTGAATGTGTTGCTATATTGTTTGAGTCATCTAGCTGCTGACACGATGACTGTTGGATCTCGGGAGTGTACGAACATCAAATTGGAAGATGCAGCATACCAAGATATCCTGGCTTCGGCTGGGCTTGAATTAACCCTTTTGCTGTCCTCCGCTCTTTGCATCAGTGGCTTCCTAGGTTCGGACGAGGGCATTTGTGTAGCTGAGATATGTGTCTACGTGAACGAATATATAGAGAGAGTCGTTTTGGCATTCGCATTTAGCGCATTGCGCATATTTTCGAATTTCGGCCCCCTTCCAGGAAACTTGATTTTTTCCCGCTGGCACTGACGTCTTTTCGTTGGTCAGCCGGTTAGCGCGGTGGATGCTAATAATATAAACACACACACACACACACACACCTATCACACACCTATCACACAACTATCACACACCTATCACACAACATCACACAACTATCACACAACTATCACACAACTATCACACACCTATCACACAACTATCACACAACTATCACACACCTATCACACAACTATCACACAACTATCACACACCTATCACACAACTATCACACAACATCACACAACATCACACAACATCACACAACTATCACACAACTATCACACAACTATCACACAACATCACACAACATCACACAACATCACACAACATCACGGCGTGACCGAGTGTGAGGAAATCACGCGGGATGGGAAGCTTCGTCGTCTCCATCTCAACTCTTCGGCCCTCCATCCTTCGCCTTTTCTTTGGATCTCTTGTCAAACGCTCTCACCAGGAGCGTTTCGTTCTGTATCGGGCCGGGCTTCCTGGCCGAGTCGTCCCCCTGCACATAGGCCAGCCATCTCTGGACCCACGCCGCCTCTACCACCAACCACGCATCTCCCTCCTGCCAGGTGGGGGGGG